CAAAGATGATGCAATTCCTATAAATGTGGAACCAAACTTAACATCATCTACACCAACGCCAAGTAAGATTGTTGATTAATTTATATCATTTGAGTATAATATTAAATATAAACTTATTATTTCATATTAATAATTTGCAGATGAAAACAACTTATCTAATATATGTGATGAAGATGACATACCTTATGAGAATGCAGAAGTATTTGGGATGGAAGATTTTGGTGAATAAGAGTTTGAGAATCCATCATTCGATCACACAAATTTAGTGGATGATTATTAAATTCACTATGAGTGTTTTGAGTTTTGAGTTTTTTACATGTAAACTGATATAAACTGATTACTTTTTTGTCTCTATGGTATTAAGTTAAAAAATTTTATATTTATGAATTTTGAGCTTGTCTTATCAATAAAGTGTTATAATTTTGTTAAAAGTTATGAAGAGGTATGTTATATGTTGTCAATTTAATATTTTTTAATGTCTATCTTGTTATATATTTTACTTCGTTTTCTTTTACTCATTTCATTTTGTAACAATTTCACATGATAGAGAAGGAGAATTGAAGATGGTTGCATTCATCAACTTTCAACACACAATAGAGCTCAACAAAAGGTATGTTATTTACTTATTTGCTTATGTTTTATAAACTTCATTGATGCCATATTTATATTATTTGATTAGTTTGATATGAAAATGAAATGCATAGTGAATGTATTAGAGGAAATTTTTTCATTTATTTTATAATTTTAATAATATTATTATTTATTACGTCATCCGGTTCGACCCCGGTTCGACCAGTCGAACCGGTCAAACCATGAACCTCTCCTTCTTCCGGTCGGACGTTGTTCGGTCTGGTTTTCAAAACGTTGCCCCTAACTAACAATAGTACATTTACTAAAAAAATAGGTACATTAGGAGAGAAACATAAGGTCCAAAGCCTAAAGATGCTCAACCAATCATACCTCAAGAATAAAGCTGAAAAGCCCTACAAATAATAAATCCTAATTTAATATAATACTAAAAGGTTCCAATATAAAACTAATATAATACTAAAAGGTTCCAATAATAAATCCTAATAGAAAATCCAATCTAAACTTTGATAGAATTAAAAACCACGAGATTTAACATGAAATAATGACATTGAAGGTATCTAAACGACGAAGGATTTTCAATTTTTTGGAACTAAGTCGCATCATAAAAAGTGAACTTACAATCATTAATAAAATTGCAAAGTCATGCAAGTAAGATAAATTAAGATCTAACGTCTCCAATAAAATCTAAGAATTCAAATAACAATAACGGTAACATTAATTTACCCTTTGTTGAATGATATCACTTAAGGAGAGATGGAGGAGGAAGGCTCAACTCGATCGAAAAGAAGAAAGAGAAAGAGGGAAGGAAAGAGGGAAAACTCACTGTGCAAGAAGAGAAGTTTTAGAAAAGTTCTTCGAGAGCTGCTACAGTGAGGAAGAAATGAAGAACAAAGAGGGAGGAGATTTCGATGTCGGTTGAAGAAGTGCGCTGCTGCTGAAATGGAGAAGGAAGATATGCATAATGCCTTAGCTTAAATCGAGAGAGAGGGCTGCGAGGGCGGGAGGATCACATGGATTGCGCGATTTTAAAGAGAGGCGAGGCGAGAAACGACGGATGAAGTGCGGCTGATCGCGGTCCGGACTAAAAAGGCAGGGGAGGAGGGTCGGTTCGTGCGGCCTTGGCTTGTGTTCGCGAGGAATCCCGAACCAGGAGGGAACCGGTTCGGTTTATAACAAATAGCATCAAATATATCATAATTTTTTATCTCTTAGTTGATAATCTAAACTTTGAATCAATATATCATGATAAGCTACATAAAAAGATAAATAAAAAAGAGAACTATATATCAACGATAAAATCTGAGAAAAGTTTACGAGGCGTAACCGCAATGTGAAGATGCATAAAATTCTGCGGCACGAATGGGACAGGACAAAAAAGGTTGAGCAAGAACAACCATTGATGTCCAAAACAATGAACGACAACATCACTGCTCAATTAGTCACCAAAGTTCTAGAAAAGGAATTTATGATAGTTAGAGAGGCGATTTAAAAACAGTCACTTCGCTGAACTAAATGGATTTCTAGACAGAGAAAGAGATTAATCTCAAATTCAGGCAAATTATTGCGTCCGTTCACCTGACGTCCGGACAACCAATTCAGACGCGCCATGTCACTCAAATACACTGGGCCCCAATATATTTTGCTGATGTGGCTCATCTGGATTGGTGTCTGGACGAATTCGGACACTGGACGCAATAATTTGCCCAAATTCACACCAACAGTGAAAATTCTAAAACTCAAGATTTTTTATTTGGCTCAACTGATAGGTTAAGATGAGATACATATGAAGTGGATATTATTATTTTGTGTCTAAATTAGTTTGTAACTAGGGGTGTCAATTCGGGTCAACCCGCTGGGTTCGGGTCGAACCCGACCCGACCCGTATCTAAACGGGTCAACCCGAACCCGACCCGTTTATAAAGAGAAGAGTTAAATTTTGGCTATTTATTAAATTAGCACTCTCTTATCTCCACTTCTTAAGCTCTCATGCAATGGAGATTAGAGGGACCTTAGTCGGCCGGCGACAGAGGTCGGAGCCTCGGAGGAACCTTAGTCGGCAAATAATGGTGGTCCGACGATGATTGCGCTGAAGTCTGGTGACGATTTGCGGCTGGGCGGTGGTCCGAAGAATAATAAAAATGTTTTATAAATTTATTATAAATAGATTATGTGTATATAAAATATACAATATTATGAGAATACCATGAGTTAATCCTAATTTTGAATAACAATCTTAGACAGATCTTTTATAATTTCTTATTTGAAGTAAAATTGCATAAAAATAGTCATAAATCTAGCTCATTTAAAATTATGTATGGCCTAAATGTGCATATTAATAATTTTTTAAAGGATTATAATTTAATTAGTACTATTATACAAAATGCGAATATTAATAATTTTTAACATTAGAATATAATTAGTACTTCTGTAGACTAAACGTGCATATTAATAATTTTATTCCATGTTAGAATATATAGTACTAATGTTTGGACCAAATGTGCGTATTAAAATTTTTTTAAAGGATTATAATTTAATTAGTCAATTTAGACAAAATGGGCATATTAATAATTTTCTTAGATTATAATTTAATTAGTACTAATGTTTAGACTAAACGTGCGTCACCAGCTTTAAAAATAAATTCTACAATGTCACACTTAAGTGTGAATTTATTTTTTTAAGAGAAAAACACTACAATAAAAATGTATTTTTCCGGTGGTCATTTTATGTCGAAAAATGAATAAAATCCGTCGTTAACTTATATTTCAGACAGAATTTTTTGAAATAAAAATAAAAAATCACTGCGGGCCTAGGCGTGGGAACCTAGCCGTGGGTCCATAAATCAGGCACGCCTATTAAGCATGCAGTCACCACAGGCCCGAACCGAGCATGTCAACTAACCGACCCAATCCAATGTACCCACCGCAGACCCGTGAACCAAACCCTCC